CCCCCATCCCCGGCCCTTTTTTTTTTTTTTTTTTTTTTTTTTTTTTTTTTTTTTTGAGGCAGGGTTTCTCTGTGTAATCCTGGCTGTCCTTGAACTCGCTCTGTAGACCAGACTGGCCTCAAACTCAGAGATCCGCTGCCTCTGTTGGGACTAAAGGCAATGACATCTTTTAGGTTCAGATGGTCTTTCCAGGGCAGTTAAGCAGACCGAGGCATTGGTCCTTAAAAAAAAATGTTGTCTTAAACCGAATCTTAAACTGTAGGCTTAAACCCCTGTCATGGTGGCAAGACTTTAAATTCCAGCACACAGGAGGCTGAGGCAGGAGGATGCCAAGTTTTAGGCCACCCTGGGCTATGAATCCAGGACTACCCTGGGCTACATATCCAGATCTATCTCCATTCCAACCCTACAGGGTCTCTCATTCACTGCAGAGTAGATAGGTACCTAACAAAACCATTCTGAAAGTGTCCCATTGAGGGGCACTGCTGTTCAGAGGGAACGAGGCATAAAGTACTGACTTGTTCCCATGGTGAGAACGCTGCTGCCACCTAGTGGCCAAAGGCCAGAAGCAAGGTTCAGCATCCCACTGCTCTAGATAGAACTATCGCTGCCAAGGGTGCTCTGCCCCGAGTTCAAGAGGGCCAAGCCTGGAGAGTGTGGTCAGGGACATGTCTAGGTAAGGAGGCTTACTTTTGCTTTTTCTTCCCTCTTAAAGCTCATCATTAAAAGTTGAATCCAAGATCTCTCATCACATACTAGGCAAGAATACAGACAGCTAGGCCCCCAGCCCCTCACTGGGAAATTGTAGGCAGGGTCTCCACCCCTGACCACGCCCCCAGCCCCTCACTGGGAAGTCTAGGCAGCCTTTCTACTTCTAAGCCAAGTTTCCAGGCCTCTTTATTTTAATAGAGCGTCTTAGTTGTTGCTCCCACTAGCCTTAAACTCACAATCCTCCTATCTGAACCTTCCTAATTGTTAGGGTGGCAGGCCTGTGTCCCCGGCTTTGCTTCAAACATACATTTTGTTTGTTTTATTGTTTTTTTCGAGACAGGATTTCTCTGTGTAACAGCTCTGGCTGTCCTGGAACTCACTCTGTAGACCAGGCTGGCTTCAGACTCAGAGATCCACCTGCCTCTGCCTCCTGAGAGCTGGGATTAAAGGCGTGTGCCATCACCTGTCTTGGAACTCTCAGTGTATGTATGCCAAGTCAGCCGGCCTTGACCTCACAGAGATGCTCCTGCCTGGGCTGCCAGGTGCTGGGAGTGTGTGGCTGGCATGCCTGGTGATGGGCATTTTTTTAAAGATAAATATTGGAAGCCATGTGTGTTAACTGTTTCCATGTAATCATTCCACGATGTACACAGATGTTACATTAGGTTGTAGGACTGACAAGCCAGCCCAGCCAAGCCTGACGACTTGAGTTCGATCCCAGGATCCACGTATGATGGAATGAGAGAGGCCACCTTTTTGACCTCTCAAATGTCCCTCCCGACATAACAAATAAATACAATAAGATTTGTTAAAAAAAAAAAAGAGAGAGAGCATATTTTAGGCTATAGGTTTGATATTTGATATAGAATATGGGCCCCTGTCTCAAAAAGATAAAAGCATGCAAATACATATATGCAAATTTTCCCCTTGAAAGTTGAAAATAAGGGTTTATTTATTTATTTATTTATTTATTTGGTTTTTTGGAGACAGGGTTTCTCTGTGTAGCTTTGGAGCCTATCCTGGCACTCGCTCTGGAGACCAGGCTGGCCTCGAACTCACAGAGAACCGCCTGCCTCTGCCTTTTCAACTACTTTGATTTTTCTGACAGGCACAAAATAATGAGGTCCTGCCTTTATCTACTGGTTTTGGGCTAAGGGATGGCAGGCAGCAAGAATAGGAAACACTTGCAGTAATCACACTGTCCCTGTAGCCACGCCCACTTTCCTCACAGGGCCCCACCCACTCGTGTGAGCCTGTCCACTTCCTTCCCTAGAGAGTCCCCATCCACTCCTGTCAGGTCCCACCTTGCACAATTCCTCCGGGAGTCCCCGCCTGATCACTGTGCATTTACCCCTGTTTCCCCTCCTCCCCCCGCCCCCTCCCCGTTATCTTGGCCAGACTCAAGCCCCTGCCCTCCGGCAGACCCCTTCCCTCAGCCCCTCCGGTCTGCACTCACGGAGTACAGGTTCCTGCCGCTTTCCTCCAATGGCAGCTTGTATTGCACGATGGTTTTCACAGACTCCCTCTTGTCCGGTGGAATCTGAAAGAGTTCCCAGAGGGCTCAGGGTACTGGAACGCAGGATCTGCACCGGCCTGCTCCTAAAGGCTCTTGCACATGGTGGGAGAGGAGGGCCAACCCCACAGAGCTGTCCTCTGTCCTCCACACACAGTGTCAGGCATGCACCCGGACACCTGGCCTCACACAATACGTATACAAACGTAATTTTTAAAAACCAACGCTGGGGTTGTGCTCCGTGGGCAGAACACTCACACTCACTGGGCATTCACAAAGCCCTGTGGCCTGTTCTCAGTGCCACAGCAACCAGGTGTGATGGCACGTGTCACCCCAGCCCTTAGGAGGTGGAGGCAGGAGGGTCAGGAGTTCAAGGTTATCTTCAACTGCACAGTGAGTTGGAGGCCAGCCTAGGCTGCATGAGACCCAGCTGAAAACTGACAGACATGTGTTGGCAACCAGGAGTCAAAGGGAGGGCTGCTCTCTTTGCACATGGCCATAGACTTAAGTTGCTCTAAGAAGAAACTCACTGCGACACATGGCCAACACCTAGACCACAGGTGGACAGACATGACGTCCCTGCTCCACATGCTTCTAGATAATGTCTGACCCAAGACTGGCAACATGCACCCAACTGTCATGGTGTGTGCACGTATGTGTGTGTCTGTCTTCGTGTGTAGAGGACAGAGGACAGCGTCAGGGGACGGACAATGGTGGGCATCTTCCTCCATCACTCCCTGCTTGTCTTTTGAGGCAGAGTCTCTCACTGACTGACTGGCCAGGAGTCCTGTCCCTGCCATCCTCGAACTGCAATGACAGACCTGTGCCACTGGCCCTGACTCCTGGCATAGGCACTAGGGATTCAGACTCAGGTCCCCACTGAGCCACCTCCCCAGTCCCTGGGTTCCAGATCATCCTGCCAAACCCAGGCAAGTTCTGGGCATCTGTGTACATGTGAGGGGTGAAAGGTGTTTCTGTAACATCTATAAAAATTACAAATGGAGATAAAAATAAATGCCACAAGAACAGTGCCAGGGTCCCAATTCCTCGCCGTGCTCGCCTCCTGGTCGTGCACTTACCAGTCGGTGGTTGGGAAGTGAATTTAATTGTCAGGCTTGGGAATCAACCTCCCTGCACTGACCCTGCTCCCACCAAAGGCATTTTCTTCTGGCTATCTTTGTGGACACGCCTCAGACAGTGCACCCCAGCACCCACCCGAGTCTCACTCACCGACAGGATTTTCTGCAGCTGTTGGTCATTCTCCACCAGCAAGACGTTCAACCTGGCATGCTCGATGACATACTGGCACGCTTCGGCTGAGTTGGTGGCATAGATACCAACACAGAGGCCCCTGGGGACACAAGACAAACTCAATTGTGGGTGGACTGGGTGCTTTTGAAAGAGTTCGTTCTTTCTTAAAAGGTTTTCTTGTTTTATTTTGTTAATGTATGTGGGTGTTTTGTCTGTCTGTCTGTCTATGTATCTCATATGTGTAAAGAGTCCACAGTGGCCAGAAGTGGGAGTCAGATCTCCCGGACCTGGAGTTACAGATGGCTGTGAGCTGCCATGTGAGTGCTGGGAATTGAACCTGGGTCCTCTGCATGTGCTCTTTCCACAGTTTATTCTTCTTTACAATTACATGCATTTGTGTGGGTGTGGTGGTTCATCCCACAGTGAGCAGGTCCGAAAGGAGCCAGCAGGGTCTTTCCTGCCACCCCGTGGATCCAAAGCATGGGACAGAGGTCAACAGGTTTGGTGAGAAGTGCTTTTTGTCCGCTGGGCCACCATCTCCCCCGCCAGGGCTAGTGTTTTGTGTGGCTTCTCAGACTTGAGCTCAGGCTCTCACACTGGCACCATGAGGCCTTAGGCCACCCAGCCGACTCCCCTGCCAGGGCCGTGAGTTTTTAGAAGGATCACTTTGCCACAGAGCCCCAAACCACCAGGCTTCTGTAGAGGTCTCCATCTGAGAACTCAGCCCAGGCTGAGGCGCCTCCTGCAGGGGACCCTGTTCAGTTCCCATCACCTCCTTAGTTCACATTAGCCTATAACTCCAGCTGCAGGGGTTCTGACCCCTTTGCCCCCTCTCCTGGCCTCTGTGGACATCTGCACACACACAAATATACACCCGCACATGTGCACAGCTCTTAAATGTTGAGAAACTATTTTTAAAAGAAAGATGAAACCAAGGCCACAGGTGGAAGTGGTGTTACTCTTGACCTCCAAATCTGAATCCGGGTTTGTGCTGAGTGTGGAGTCCACAATAATTTGAAAACATTGGCTACCTACCCAGCTTCTCCTGCATGACCCTTGTCCCAAATACTCTGCAGTGATGAGAAGAGCAATTGGTTAAAAACTACGATAAGACCCCAGATACGTCAAGAGCTGTTATGATAACCACAGACTTGTGTAAGCAAACCCGTTAAGTTTGTACAAACACCTTGTTATCACAAATTGTAAATTCCCGGAACGTACCAACACCCAAGACAACCTCAAACTGTAAAAATTCTTATATCACCCCTGACCCTCTATGTGTGGCTTTTGCTTTAAAAAGAAGTTACTCACTCTGTTCCCGGTCATGGTGTCAGAACCCGACCTGCCCATGGCCCTAACTAGATGGAAGTTCTGGTACCCCATGGTGATGGAATAAAGTTGCCTCTGCTCATCTAACTTTGGTGGCCTAGTCCTCAATATTTGTGCAATTCCCAGACCCAACACTGAACAGCCCGAGACACAGGTTCATCAGCATGACTGCAACGGTGGAACATACCCGGCCAAGATGGCACCAATGGCGCCGATGACCCACTCAGGGGAGTTAGAGCCCAGGATGCCGACACCATGGAAGCGCTGCAGGCCCAGCTGGAGGGAACAAAACCAGAAGGAAGTTGCCATCAGCTCCTGGGCATGAGGGGGTGAGAAAAAAGCAACGGGAAAGCGGCTGTACTGAGCAGGGAGCTGCTGTTCAGCCTGCACTCCAGTGCCGTGAGCTTGCTTCCTTCCTTCCAGGCATCTGTGGGATGAAGTCCACACGGTGCAGAAGTCACTCTGGTTCAGGACTGGAAAGCACATCCACTTGGCCATTTCTACCACCGGACTCAAGAACCTCCCAATTTCCCCAAATGAATCTCTGCCCACATTCAACACTAACTCCATCCCTCCCCCAGGCCTTGGCACCCGAGTCCCACTTTCCGTCACTGTGGGTCTGATGGCTCTAGGAACCTCTTGGGATAAGATCTTGCAGTGTGTGTCCTCTGTGTAAGATTCATGTCATTAAGCTGGGCGTTGGTGGCGCACGCTTTTAATCTCAGCACTTGGGAGGCAGAGGCGGGCGGATCTCTGTGAGTTCCAGGCCAGCCTGGTCTCCAGAGCGAGTGCCAGGATAGCTCCAAAGCTACACAGAGAAACCCTGTCTAGAAAAACCAAAAAAAAAAAAAAAAAAAAGATTCACGTCATTGAGTATCTTGTCCCCGGGAGCCTCCATTTTGTAGTACCACCCGTCAGGTTTCCCTGTTTTTAAGGCTGTATAGTATCCCACTGTATAAACACATCACACTTCGCTTACACACCAGCACTGGGCACTTGGCTGGTGTGAACAGTGCTGTGGTGGCTACAGATGTCCTTTAAGGCCCTGGTCTTGATTCCTCTGAGCACATACTTAGAAGAGAACATTCTGGGTGGTCTGCTAATTCTATGTCTTATTTGTAGGAAATATGTATGAATGGTGTACATGCCTGTGCATACATGTGTGTATCCTCAGGGGGTATCCTCAGGCGTCATTGCTCATAAGCCATCTATCTGGGCGTGTGGGTATATAGAAGGCTTGACAGGACCTCATGCTTTCCTCTGTCCCTGTGTTGAGACAGATCCCCCACTGGACCAGGCCAGTGAGTTTTGGGGATGAGCCTCTGCTTACCCACTGGCTAGAGGGATGCAAGAACACACAGCCTCTCCTGGCGTTTGACATCAGTTCTGGGGACTCAAACTCAGTTCTTGCTAGGAAAGATTCAGGGAGCATAGCCCATCTGGGGAGCATGGCCCTAGCCCTGTCTTTTCAGACACAGTCTTGTGCTTCTACCTGGAGCTCATCATAGGCCAGGGTGCTGGCGGGGGAACCCGGAATCCACCCTTCTTCACCTTCTAAGTCTTAATTATGAGGACATGTGTCTATGCAGATGTGTGCATTTGCATACAGCTGCCCACAGAAACCAGAAGTGTTGTGTCCCCCTGAAGCTGGAGTTCCCAGCTGTGAGCCACTGCTGAGAATCAAACATGTCCTCTGGAAGAGCAGGAAGAGTCCTTAACTGCTCTCACCCTGAATTTTTTAAAATTACATTTATCTACTGTGGTGTTTGAATGAGAATGGTCCCCAGAGGCCCGAATGTCTGAATGCTTGGGCCCAGGTAGTAGAACTGTTTGAGAAGGATCAGGGTGTGTGACCTTGTTGGAGGAGGTGTGTCACTGGGGTTGGCTTGGTGGTTTCAAAAGCCCACAGCAGGACCAGTCTCAGTCCTCTCTCTGCCTGTGGATCAGGATGTAGCTCTCGGTTACTGCTCCAGACCGTGCCTGTCTCTTCCCTACCATGCTTGTGGACTAAGCCTCTGACACCAGCCCTTCAGTGAAATGGTTTCTTATGTAAGAGTTGCCTTGGTCATGGTATCTCTTCCCAGCAATAGAATCCTAAAACAGAAGTTGGTAACAATGAGCAGGGCACAAATGTGACAGACCGCCAGGCGGTGGTCACGCACGCCTTTAATCCCAGCACTCGGGAGGCAGAGCCAGGCAGATCTCTGTGAGTTCAAGACCAGCCTGGTCTACAAGACCACAGAGCCACAGAGAAACCCTGTCTTGAAAAACCAAAAAAAAAAAAAAAAAGGAGGGGGACAGACCAGACCATGCCGCTTGTTGGTGGACTGTGGACTTTGGGATTTTGGATTAGGACAATAGCTGGATGCTTTAAGTGGGCCTTAATGGGCCATCTTAGGAGGATCTTGGAAGACAGTGATGCTGGGAGACTGTAGACTATGGAGGCCCAACTCAAGAGGTTTCAGAAGAGAACAGTATTAGCAACAGGGCCAAAGACTATTCTTAGGAATATTTTAGTGAAGAATGTGGCTGCTTTCTGCCGGTGGCTAATGTGAAGAAATTTGAGCCAAAGTTGTTGAGATTTCTTTTCTTTTCTTTTTACTTTTATTTCATTTGCATTGGCATTTTGCCTGCAGGTAGGTCTGTGTGAGGGTGTCAGATCTTGGAGTTACAGACAGGTGTGAGCTGCCATGTGGGTGCTGGGAATTGAACCCGGGTTCTAAGGAAGAATAGCCAGGTCTCTTAGCCACTGAGCTCCAGCTCAGTGGCTAAGCTCCGAAAATGAGATTTCAAGAAAGCCTAATATTGACTGTGTCTTATGACTGTTAGTGGTCTAAGCAGGTCCACAAGGAAAGGAGTGAGCAGGGCAAAGAGGAGAGCAAAGTGCCCTGAGCAGCATCAGGAAATGCCATGCTGGGGCCAAGCCCTGTGCTCGAGGGTATGAGATGCTTAGAGAAAAGCCTGATGCTGAAAATGAAGGATTTGTACCCTCAGGGTGAGACCCCACCCGGATAATCCTGCAACCCATGAAAGAAGTTAAAGGAAGGCTTATGCAACAGGAAAGCAGCAATGAGTCAAAGCACGTGCACACAAAGGTCTGGGGTGTTCAGGCTCCACCACGAGCGGCAGCATGGCTTGACAGCATCAGCCGTATGGTTCTGGTCATGAAGGGTGGTTGTGGAATCTCCCTCTGTGGTTCAGGGAGGCACTGAGGCCAGGCATGTGGCAGGGGAGTCCCTGCCCGGGGGCTGTGGAAGTGAAGCTTGGGTTGCACTGGAGAACCCAAGATGAAGGAGATGCTAGAACCACCCTGCCATTGAAGCTGGAAAGAACAGAGACCCAAAGAGCCATCCAAGCTGTCTGACACCAGAGTGGCAGGACATGGCGTTCCCTGCTGGATCTCAGTCCTTCTTGTGGCAGAGTTTCCTCACTGTGCCGCCTTCCCGCCCTTTTGGAATGACGATGTATGTTCTGAGTCATTTCGTGTTAGAAGTATGCAATCCCTGTCTTGATTTTACAGTTAAGAGACTGCTTTGGGGTCTTAGAAGAGACTTCGGGGTTTGAAACAGTGTTAGACTGTGATAGACTCCGGGGACTTCTGAAGTTAGACTGGATGCGTTTTTGCATTATGATATGGCCACATGTCTTTGGGGCCAGGGAGTGGAATGCGGTGTTTGAGTGAGAATGGCCTTCGTAGGCTCATATGTTTGAATGCTTGGTCCCCAGTGGGTGGAACTGTTAGGGAAAGATTAGGAGGTGTGGCTTTGTTGGAGGAGGTGTGTCACTGAGGGTGGGCTTGGAGGGTCCAAATTCCACCCCAGGCCAACCCTTGTGCTGTCTCCACCTTGCCCACAATGTGTGAGCTGTCACCTACTGCTCCAGCACCATGCATTCCTCATGCCCCCACCGTGAGGGTCATGGACTAACCCTCTGAGACTGTAAGCCAGCCCCAGTTGAATGCTTCCTCTTATAAGTTGCCTTGGTCATGGTGTCTCCTCATGGAGCCCAGGCTAGACTCTGGCTCACTCTGTTGTCATGGATGACCTTGAGCTCCCAGCCCTCCTGCCTTTCCTGCCCAAGTGAGGGCGGCGGGTGTGCACCACCATGCCTGATTCATGTGGCACTGAGGATGGAGCCCAGGGCTCTGTGCATGCTGAGAGACCACTCTGGTCACTGAGGCTCCACCCAACTTCTTGCTTGTTTTCTGAGACAGGGTTTCAGTACCGTAGGCTGGCTCAGAATTTAGGACCCCAGAGTCTGCCACCCCACTCTATGGACCACTGCTTCCGAATGGCTGATGCAGGGAGCTGCTCACCTTGATGAGAGATTTGGCTGCCTTGCGGCATGCTTCGTAATACTGGCTGAATGTCAATGTGTCCCACTTTCTGTCGTTCTTCGATGCCAGGGCTGGGTAAGCACCAAATCGCTCAACAGACTCCTGAAACAGCTCAGGGATGGTCATTGGGGTCTCGTGGCCGGGTCCATGTCTGGAGAGCCTCAGGAGCACCTCTTCATCACAGTGAGTGCTCCACAGCTTGAGAGGAGCTGTAAGAGTCATGGGTGGGCTTGGGTGGTGCTGGGTGGAACTTTGGGCTCTTCTACACTGGGCCAGTGCTCTACAGCCGAGCCACAGCCTCAGCCCTCATGGGCATTTTCTAAACAGTTTTTGTTTTTTGTGTTTTGGTTTTATTTTGAGACAGGATTCCTCTGTGTAGCCTTGGCTGCCCTGGAACTTGCTCTGTAGACCAGGCTGGCCTTGAACTCACAGAGATCCACCTGCCTCTGGCTCCTGAGTGCTGGGATTATAGGTGTGTGCTACCACTGCCCGGCCTTCAGAACATTTTTACATTTATTTGTTGATGTGTGTGTTTCGCCTGAATTTATGGCTGTGCACTGTGCACCTGCAGTGCCTACTAAGGCCAGAAGAGGGCACAGCAAGCACTCTTAACCACAGAGCAGCATCTCCAGCCCCCATCGGGATTTCCATCCAAATGTTGGAGGCTTCATGGCTAGAGGGGCTGCCACCAAGCTGACCTGAGTCCAGGCCCCTGGAAGCACGAGGGGGGGGGGAAGCAAGTTGCCTTCTGACCTCCACATGCACACAGTGGTGTGCTCCACCCTCAAAAACACACAGATAAATGTAATTCTTTCTTTCTTTCTTTCTTTCTTTCTTTCTTTCTTTCTTTCTGGAGCCAGGCATGGTGCCTCCTGTTTATCAGGTCAATGCTCAGTGCGGGTATGAGCAGGCTCGGTCAGTGAGGGCTTGCTGTGCATACATGAGGACTTGAGTTCAGGTCCTGTGTGCCCTTGTTAAAACATGCAAACAAACAAAACAAAACAAAAAAACTCAGGGGCAGCATGGTGGGCCTATAACCACTGGTTCAAATAGATGGACAGATCGACAGACAAATAGATATAGATAGATGTAGACTTACAGACAGATAAGTTGATGGATATAGACAGATGATGGATGGATGGATATTGATGATAGATGGATAGGTAGATACAGATACATATATACATACATACATACATACAGATACATACATACAGATACATACATACAGATACATACATACATACATACATACAGATACATACATACATACATATAGATACATACATACATACAGATACATACATACATACATACAGACAGACAGACATATACATACATATAGATACATACATACATACAGATACATACATATATACAGATACATACATACAGATACATACATACATACATACAGATACATACATACAGATACATATATACATACATACAGATACATACATATATACAGATACATACATACATACAGATACATACATACATACATACATACAGATACATACATATATACAGATACATACATATATACAGATACAGATACATACATATATACAGATACAGATACTTACATACAGATACTTACATACAGATACAGATACATACATGCATACAGATACATACATACAAATACAGATACATACATACAGATACATACAAACATGCATACAGATACATACATACATACAGAAATACATACATGTAGGGGAAGCTGTAGCCAGACTGTTCAGGCTTAGATACCTCTTTCAGATGACTTTAGGGTTTAGTTAAAATAGATAGTTAGGATGTGACATAAACAGATTGTTTTATCTTCTTATATTTTACCTTTATGATTATTAGTTTTGGATACATTAAACTGTTAAGTTTTAATACTCTTTTAGACTAAAAGGGGAATTATAGGGGAAGCTGTAGCCATGCCTACTTAGGGGCTGGCTACAGGTGTGCCTGACCACGCCCTCACAAGCTTGCGAGGGCGTGGTCAGGGGATGTAGGGTGACTGCGTTTTCGCTTTCGGTTTCTCTTTTGGGCTTGCGTACAGACTGCTGCCACGCCTGCTGGCTAGGTCGCTCTGTAAGTAAGACTTTTCCCTATTAAATACCCTTATATTTCTACCTGACTCCGTATTGGTAATTTCCCACTATACATACATACATGCATACATAGGAGAGTGGCTGAGGAAGACACCTAGCATTGCCTGCTGGCCTCCACATGCATGTGGGCACACACACACACACACACACACACACACACACACACACACACAGTTTGAGGTCATCCTTAGCTTCATAGTGCATTCAAGACCAGCCTGGGATAAATGAGACATGGCGTCCAAAGGGAAAACCAAGAAACAAACTGAAACTGACAGACTATCAGACACCAGGGTCATGGGACATCAGTGCACTATCTGGTTTAGAGACAATGAGTTCCCAGTGGTTCCCAACCTTCTTAATGCTGCGACCCTTTAACACAGAGTCTCATGTTGTGGTGACACAAAAAGTTATTTTCCTTGCTACTTCATAACTGTAATGAATCTGTGTTTTCCCATGGCTATAGAGCATTTTCTTAGTCATTGATGGGTAGGGCACAGCCCATTGTGAGTAATGCCATCCCTGGGCTGGTGGCACTGGGTTCTATCAGAAAGCAGGCTGAGAAAGCCATAGGGAGCAAGCCTGTGATTAGCACCCTCCAATACCTCTGCATCAGCTCCTGCCTCCAAGGCTCCTGCCCTTTGTCAGTTCCTGTCCTGACTTCTTGGGTGGTTTGAATGAGAATGGCCCCCATAGGCACTTATGTTTGAATACTTGGTCCCTATTTCTAGGGCTGTAGTGTGTGTGTGTGTGTGGGGGAGGTTTAGATGTGGCCTTGCTGCAGGAAGCATGTCACAGGGCTTTGGGATTAAAAAGCCCCATGCTGGGCTGGAGAGATGGCTTGGAGTTTGGGAGCAATGGCTGCTCTTCCAGAGGTTCTGAGTTCAGTTCCCAGCAACTACATGGTGGCTCACAACCATCTGTAAGAAGATCCGGTGCCCTTTCTGGCCTGCAGGGATACATCACCGTATACATAATACAAAATAAATCTTTTTTTTTAAAAAAGCCCCATGCTAACTCTACTTTGCTGTCTGCTTTCTGCCAGTGGTTCCAGATGCAAGCTTTCAGCTTCTGGTTCCTGCTGCCATGTCTGCTGCTTGCTGCCATCCCTCCCACCATCAAGGACTCTCAGTCCTCCAAACCATAAACCAGACAAAGCCTCTTCCTTAAGCTGCCTTTGGTCATGGTGTCATCACACCACTGAAAGTAACCAATGCACCAAGGATCAGAGAAGGCCAGAAGGGAGCCACAGAGCATCAGCAACAGCCATGCACATGAACTGCAGGCTGGAGAGGAGGGGCCTGCAAGTGTGTGTATTTATGTACATATCCATTGAGTAGATGTTCCCTCCGAGATCAAAACACTCCACCATGCCAAGAACGCTCACAACAATTCGGAACCTTCAGGAAGTCCCTGAAACTGATCAGATTCACCAGCTCCTCCCTCTGCGTGTCCGTTGGTTTGTGTCAAGTTGACACAACCCTAGACATGTCTGGGGGAGGAGCCTGGATTGAGAAAAAGCCTCCATCAGATTGCCAAGTAGACAAGTGCACTTCCTAGATTGATGGCTGATGTGGGAGGGCCCAGCCAGTTGGGTGTGGCCCCACCCTGGGCAGGTGTTCCTGCATGGTGTAAGAAAGCAGGCTGAGCAAGCCGGCGGCGGATTGGGGGGGGGGTGAGCCAATAAGCAGCACCCTGCATGGCCTCTGTTTTAGCTCCTGCCCTGATTTCCCTCATGACGGACCATGGGCTATAAGATGAAATGAACCCTCTCCTCCTCAACTTGCTTTTAGATGGTGTTTATCCCGGAAACAGAGACCCTAGCTAAGGCACTCCACAGATGTATACAATTGCTAACAACTGCTGAGACATGCTTTCAGAGTCGTTTAGCTGCTTTCAGACCAGCTGAGGCACCTGGAAGGAATGCTCTCCAACCTGTTGTGTGGCCAGCAGGCTGTGCAGTACACTCTAGGTTCCCATCTCTGTGAGCTGTCACCCGTGCTGGGGTGGGCCTTGGTGACACAGCTGTCTCCCCTCACCAATATGCCTGGCAGTGACCCCAGTAAAGCTCACAGCTCACCAAGTGGGACTTTGGTGGTGTCCGTACTTTGTTCTGCTGTGGGCTCCTTACCTGGGGTGAGTGGACATGTATGTCGTGTCTCCTTGGGAAAAGTCTTTCTTGTCACACAATGGGGGTGACACACAACCAACAGTATGTGTATGCATGTATATGTTTGTATCTGTGTGTATAGTCGTGTCTGTGTACATACATCTGTATGAAACAGTGTGTATGGATGTGTGTATATACACAGGAACACATGGAAACCCAAGGTCAACATCCGTGTCTTCCTCAGTTGCTCTCCACCTTGTGTTTTGAGGCAGCATCTCTCACTGAACACAAACTCCCTGACTGGCTAGGCTGGGGCCAGGGATTCCCAGGGATCCTCCTGTCTCTGTTCCCGCAGTGCTGTGGTCACAATACAGAACCACCACATCTAGCCTTCCCATGGGCTCTGAGGGGTTCAAACTCAGGTACCCATGCTTGTGAAGTCATCTCCCAAGGCCCAAGACAAGTTTTTACAAGGTCAAGACTGCTGGAGAAGGGGCCACACAAGCCACCACTCTCCCCACCCTCTCCTCTGAGAAGGGCTGGTGCAGGGGTGAGCAAAGCTGTTCAGATCACACGCTGACCTTGAGGTTTGCTCAGGTACCTGCATAATGGCCACAAGTCACTAAAAATAGTGTCATCTATAGGAGGGGCTCCTAGGACGTCACCCATATGGGCACCATCTCAGTACAGAGGTGCTGCCAACTCTCCGTGGCGTAGATGTGTGTGATCATTCGTGGAAATGCATACACACACACACACACACACACACACACACACACACACACAATCTTTTTTCAAATTTTATGTGCAAGGATGTTTTGCTTGCATGTATGTCTATGTACCACACAAGTGGCTGGTGCCCACGATGGTGAGACAAGCGCCTCAGATCCAGGGGCATCTGTTGTAGTTACAGACAAACCTGAACCATCACACGGGCTCTGAGAATGGAACCCAGGTCCTCTGGAAGAGCAGTCAGTGATCTTACCCACCGGACCATCTTCCCACCCCATGGAATCTTTTTTTAAAAAAGTGTTTGTGTGAGTTGGGGGTTGGTGGTGCATGCCTTTAATCCCAGCACTCAGGAGGCAGAGGCAGGCAGATCTCTGTGAGTTTGAGGTCAGCCTGGTCTACAGAGCGAGTGCCAGGACAGCCAGAGCCAGGATTACACAGAGAAACCCTGTCTCAACCCCCCCCCCGCCCCAATGAAATAAAAAGCAAAAGAAAAGAAAAAGTCCCTACATGATTTGTTTTGTCAGCTGACACTATTTCTGGAAGAGGCTCAGTGAGGAACTCTCTAGGTCATGTGTCCTGCAGCATGCCTAGGGTGTGGTGTCACCTACCTCACTTCATCCCCACTTATGTCACTTTTGCCTGGATGTCTTACTGTAGTGCCAGAAACTAGATAATATGTAAGTGAGCTTCCCAAAGGGCAAACAACCCCTAGTTGTCACCTGTAATCTAAGTGACTGAACTCCAAACTGCCTACCAGGAAGAACACAACAGCCAGGCAGGTCAGGCACACTTGGCCAAGATGGCCAGGTGGCACTGTGGGACAAGGTGTTCACCTACTCCCCAGTGCTCCCTGACCATCACAGACCTGGGGTGACGTCCATGCCTCTGTCAGGGTCCTCTGCCTTCTTTTCTTGAGCCATTCTTGGTCCAGCCTTTCCAGATTCACAAGGAGTGTTCGTCAAATTGCTGCACGGCCACGGGTGTGCATCAATGAAGAAAACAGATTCAGTTTGGCAAGAACAGCAGAGGGACCGACCTCCATCCCCTGGTGATGTCTGCCTGACCCTTGCTCGGGATTGCTTTAGTCATGCCTGATTTGGCCTGGGAAGATTTCTAAGTTAGGGGGTGTTCAATGGTGAGGTTTTAACAGAGACTTCTCCCCCTCCCTCCTCTCCCCCAATTCTTCTATCCCTCTTTTTTTTTTTCAAAATTTTTATTGGGCCATCCAGACAGCTCGTAGGTGAACACTGAGTCAAGACTGATCACCTGAGTTCAATCCCTCGGACCCACATGGTAGGAGATAGTGGACCTTCCCAAGTTGTCCTGTGACCACTACATGTGTGTGCAGGGGCACATGTGTGCACACAGGCACAAATACACAAAATAATAATAAAATAAATTTTAAACATCTGTAGCTAGGCACAGGGTGCATGCTGTGGCCACAGCTTTCTGGAGGGCTGTGATCAGAGTCAGGGCCTGACCTTTACAATAATCAAAGCATTCTAATTTTCCTCAAGGTTAAGAATATAGAAAACAGCTGGGCAGTGGTGGTGCACACCTTTAGTCCCAGCACTTGGGAGGCAGAGGCAGGCAAACTCTCTGAGTTTGAGGCCAGCCTGGCCTACATACAGAGTTAGTTCCAGGACAGCCAGGGCTACACAGGGTTTGGTCTGAGGAGATATTTCTGTGGGTAAGCATGTGCTATACAAGCACAAGGGCCTGAGTTTGACACACCAGCATCCATGTAAAACCCCAGGTGTGGTGGTATGCACCTGTAACCCAGCTCTGGAGAGGCTGACATAGGGGCATTGCTGGAGCTCACTCAGAGCTCACTGGCAGCCATCTGACCTACTCAGCAAACTTCTGTTTCTGTGAGAGATGCTCTCAAAACAGAGGGTGAACAGTGCCTGAGGGACCACACCCAAAGTTGACCTCTGGCTTCCACACACATACACAAAGTGGACTTCAGACACCTGTTGTATGCATCAGACACTGACTGTGTGCTCCCACAGACACTGGGACAATGCACACTGTCACAGAATCTGCCACCCTGTTTGATACCAAGTACTGCGGGTGCTGGGGTTACAGAAGGGCCCTACCGGGTTCAGCTTTTACGTGGGTCTAGGAACCTGAACTCACATCCGTGCAGCAAGTACCAGAGGATCAGGAGTTCAAGGCCATCTTCCCTCCATGGGGAGAAAGTAAACTTCTGCCTTCCCTAAGTGTAGACTCTGTTTTGAAAGGGTCATGTGCAGAGGTCATCTCAGGAACCTTACCAAACATCACCCTTCACAAGGTGCAGCTCTGGCCCAAGTGGCCAGGTGTTACAAATGGACACATCTGGTCTCCAAGGTATTTCTCCTTGCACAGAGCTGGTGGGGGGGGGGTCGTCCCAGAAGCACTGGTCACCCCCTCAGTCTAGCCAGGGTGATGGTGATGATGGAGGGAGGGATGAAGGTAGATGGGTTTTTCCTGCCCCACAGAGCTTCTGCCCTGTCCAGGCTTCTGGAACTTTCTACTCAGGCCACCCCTTGTGACATCACTGGCCATCCTCCCCTGCACCCAGCCTCAGATAGAAAGTGCTTCCAGGAAAGCAGGAGCATGGGCTCCCTTGATCCATCATTCATTCACTCACCAATGTACTCATTCATTCATTCATTCACCCATCTATCCACCCACTAGTTAGTATTCAGGCATCTGCACAGGCCTGCCTTTGGGGTCCTGACAGGATAGGCCCTCAGCTGCAGCCACTAAGAGCCACTAAGAACACCTCCTGTGCCCTTTCAAGTTCCCTTTTAAAAGGGCCCCGCCCACCTCCCATGTTTCTTTCTCTTTCTCCCTCTCTCTTTCTCTACTCTTGCCCCCAGGGACCAGTCTCTGCCCCCCCCCCCCCCCCCCCCCCCTTGTTTGTTGGCGTTTTGCTTCTTCCAATAAACCTCTGATGTGAGGTCTGTTGTATGGTGTAACTTTTATTCATGGAGTTTTTAAAATTGCAACACTCATTCATACATTTGTATGCATTTGTGAGGTTTCTGTTTATGATTTTTTTTTACAGCTCCAGTGCTGGGCATTGTGCTTTACACTGGATAGAAATATGAGTGAAAAAAGGCAGGCCCATTCAAGTACCTGCTGGGAGCACTAACACACACACACACACACACACACACACACACACACACACACCAAAACCCCACCATCGTGTCTGCGGCTGTAGACCAGTGGGTAGTGCTTACACAGCATGCATAAGGCCTGGGTTTCATCTCAAATGTCCCATGAATTGGGCATGGTGGCATGTCTTGTCATACCAACACTGGGGAAGGCGGAGGCAGGAGGATCAGGGGTTTAAGGTTATTCTCGGATAATAGGGAGTTCAAAGGCAGTTCTGGCTATATGAGGCCCTGCCTCACACAAATGAAAGATGCATTCACAATGTAACCTCATCACCATCCAGTGCCAGAAACTCCCCTCTCCCCATACTGAAGCTCTGCCCAGTTCAGTACTATCCCAACCCCCATGCCCTTCCAGGTCCCCACCAAGCCCTTCTGTGGCTTGCTCTAGGAGCCTCCAGGTGGGTCCCTGGGGTATGTGACCTTGTCTGGCATGTTTCACTGTATCACCACGGTTCCTCCTCACTGGGGTGGTTGCCATTAGAATGTCCTCTTGCACACTGGAGAGCCCACACCCTCCCTCATCCTGAGCATGGGCCAGGAGTCGCTCGCTGCTGTGTGGATATGGATATGTGACATCCCCAAGTCCTTCTTTCTGGCAAATGCCCAGAAGGGGGATGAAGATCACAAGGTTATTCTATTCTTAGTATTTTGACACAGGGTCTTATGTAGGCCAATCTGCACTTGGGACACTGGAGTCCCAGTGTCCTGAGAGCTCCCTGGCTGGTAGCCACTAGCAAAGTCTCTTCTGCTGCGCCTGTCCTTGTCTCCCAGAGCCAGCCTCTTTTAAAGGAGCATTGGGTCACATTGCCATTGTGGCCCTGGCTCACGGAATACAGTGATGTCACAAGGGCTGGACTATAGAAGGGAATGTCCTGGAGGACATCCAATCTGGGTGCTTCTTGTCCCGCTGTGAGTAGAGAGGGACGTGGTAACAGAGCTCGACAGGAGCTACCACTGCCCCATCAATGACAAAGCACTGAGACCCTGTGCAGGAGAGGGAAGGCCGAGGGCTGAGGGCTGTCTGCGCCCCAGCCTCTCTCCAGAAGCTCCTGGCAACTAGGCAGGGAAGGTACTGAAACACCGTAATCTTTTCTCCTTCACCCTCTCTCCTTCTTACTATTCCCTTCCCCAGGGTCTCTTGTAGCCCAGGCTACCATTGAACTAATTCACAAGCCACACACACCTAAAGATCTGAGTTCAGTTCACACACCTTCAAGAGGAGGACCCCTGGTTCTCACTGGCAGCAGGTTCGTGGGGGTGGGGGATGGATGGACGATGCAGCTGAGGAGGACATTGGCCTCCACCTCTGGCCTCCGCACCACACACCCAGGAAGCATTCTCACTAACACCCAGCTTGTTTAGTCTCCTGTGCCAGCACCCGCAGCTGGTCTGTAGGTTTTCACTTTTGTCCAGCCTACTCCTTACTCCACTCTGTGAGAGGGCAGGCATCCTACTTAGTACACCTGACCCCTGTAACCTTGTGTAAACATCTGTGTGCCTTGTCTCTGTCAAGGAGATGTCTGACCCCAAGGAACAAGATGGCCCTGAAGGTACCCTCTCTATCACGGCAGCAAAAGCCTTCCTGACAACCAGAATTTGCAACAAAATGGTGAGAAAGACAATCGCACAAAGACCTCCAGACTCAGAGAGAAAGGTCTCAGGTGAGAGGCCCCCTACCCCCGGTGCTGGGAGAGGGTGACAGGGCCAGCACGGGGTCTCGGGGAGTCCTGTCACTCCAGCACACTTCCTGGGACGGGTAGCAGAGGAGCACTGGTCCCAGAGGGTGGGTGGCCAGTGCGGGTGAGGACCTTGTGGAGGAGGCAGTTGTACCAGGGGAAGGGTGGCACCTGTGGCCATGTGACCAACCATCCAAGCCTTATTGACCTATGGCTGCAGTCACCATGACTCTGACCTCTATCCAATCCTCATGGGGAAAATGACCTCTGACCTCACAGCAGAAAACTCCTTCTGGACAACACAGCGCAATGGTGAAGTGAAGTTGCGTATGGACAAGAACTCGGAGGACGAGCCTCCGGTCACAGTGCCCGACATGATCATGAGCGCCGCCACCAAGTACTCACACTACTTGGCAATAGGCTGCAAGTACAAGAAGAGCTGGCAACTGCTCACCTACATCGAGTACTACGAGGCCTGCAGGAGGGCTGCCAAGGCCTTCCTCAAGGTACTGCGCCTGCGCGTGCACCACTGCGCCGCCCCACCTGCGCCTGCAGGTGATTCCTGTCGTTCCTTCGTGCCACGGAGCGGCACACAGCCATTAGTCTCGTAAATTACTTGCCGCTCTGTGCCTCAGTTTCCCCATGTACAAGATTCATCCTGCATTTCAAAGGAGCATTGTGTGTGTCCTTAGACCTTGAGGATAGTTTCTGTATTACCCTTATTTCGGGTCTTTTAATCTTGTACGTGTCTGCCTAGCAGAGCTTTTTCAGGCGTACCACAAGTAGACTGCGTCATATGATGCAGTTAAATACATTCATGTAAACAATGAAATCTAGAGTGTGCATATTCATAAATATGAACGCTTTCACACAGGGCACGTGTGTTGTGTGAATACTGTGTGCTTTCCTACATACAACATATACAAACAGGCTGGAGATGTGGCATGGCGGTTACAGCACTGGATGCTCAGTACAGGACCAGGGGTCGATTCCCAGCACCCACATGGTGGCTCACAACTGTCTTGTCACTCCAGCTCCAGGGGACCCGAAGCCCCTTCTGGCCTCTGTGTGTGCACATGGTGCACAAGCACAAATGTAGGCAAAACACCCACATACATAAAAAAGTAAAAACATTGTAAGAAAGAATGATCCCTTCCAAAAGCACTTAGTCCCTGCACAGCTGAGCATTCTTAATGTGTTTTGTCAATACATACATCTCCTAGTGTTCAGCCCCCCCCCAGTCCTGTCTTTCTGGCTACCTAGTGTCATGATGACACCTTGGTTGGTTGGTTGGTTGGTCCATGGGAAGCCACCATTTCACCTTCTGGTGTTTGTTGAGTAAATGAATTTATTTTTTTTTAAATGTCCATCTTTCAGATTAGGAAAGGAAATAAAACAAAGCTGAAGCCACTTGCCCAGTCAGGCTGGTAAATAACATCAGTCAGAGATCCAGAACCTGATGAAGAAAGGGAGGTGGAAAGAGCAGGAGGTAGGGGGTGCAGTTTTAAACTGTGGTGGACAAGGAGTGGTACACAGACAGTAAGATTTCAACCAAGTCGGGGAGGAGCTATCTGGAAATTTACTGAGGAATATAACAAGCCAAGGGCACAATGCTTTCAAAGGCCCAGGGCCAGGAGGCACGTTCTCTGCAAAAGATGCCGCCTGGTGTGTGTGTGGGGGCAGCATGTAGGAAGGATAGAGGGTGGTGATGGATGGATGGCTGGATGGGTGGATGGATGGATGGATGAGTGGATGGATGGATGGGTGGATGGATGGATGGGTGGATGGATGATGGATGCATGGTAGATGGATAGATGGGTGGATGGATGGGTGGATGGATAGATCGGTGGGTGGGTGGATGGATGCATGGATGGTGGATTGATGGATGGATGGATGGATGGGTGGATGGATGGATGGATGGATGGGTGGATGGATGGATGGATGGATGGATGGGGAAATGGACAGATGGGTGGACGGATGGGTGGGTGGATGGATGGTTGGATGGGTGGATGGATGGATGGATAGGTGGGTGGATGGGTGGATGGGTGGATGGATGGTGGATTGATGGATGGAAGGGTGGATGGATGGATGGGTGGATGGATGGATGGGTGGATGGGTGGATGGATGGATGGGTGGATGGATGGATGGGTGGATGGGTGTGTGGGTGGATGGGTGGATGGATGGGTGGATGGATGGATGGGTGGATGGGTGGATGGATGGGTGGATGGATGGATGCATGGTGGATGGACAGATGGGTGGATGGGTGGATAGACGGATGGGTAGATAGATGGGTGAATGGGTTGATGGATTGATGAATGGATGGGTGGATGGGTGGATGGGTGGATGGGTGGATGGGTGGATGGATGGATTGGTGGATGGACAGATGGATGGGTGCGTGGATGGATGGGTGGGTGGATGGATGGATGACTCGATGTTTTGATGGGTGGATGGTTGCATGGATGGGTGGATGGAAGGAGGAATGGATGGATGGATGGGTGGACGGGTGGATGGATGGATGGATGGGTGGATGGATGGATGGATGGGTGGATGGGGAAATGGACAGATGGGTGGACGGATGGGTGGGTGGATGGATGGTTGGGTGGGGGGAT